GAAAAAGTGAAGGTTCTCTTAAGTCTTCTTACAGTTACTCAGAAAGCAAATATTCTCCTCCTTCACAGCTCTTGCTTTGAGAAACAGCTGTAGAACTTTTCAGAATTAAATTCCATCAGTTAAGTAAAAGTCTTTTATCTGTCTTTCCAACAGGGACAGCATCTGTGAGACTCCTACCCAATTCCACCCCATGCCCTCAGCATCTCATCTCTATGGGATAGTGGCACTTAAGAGGAGGTAGAGCTGACATCTTGGTTTCCTGTTGCCTGTTCAGGCTGGCAAGTCCCAGGCAGTCTATCAGGTGCAGAGGCAGCCTCGCAGTGAACACCCATTTGAAATTAGATGAAGACCCCTATCACTTCCCAAATACATCATCTGAAAGTTATCACTTCTGTTTGAAGGGATGGTTGTTGAGGAATTTTTTGGATTTAGAAATCCTTCTTAAGTGGTCCTGTTTGGAGATCTCAAAAAAAAATCTCAAAACCATGTAAGGACCATAACAATATGCTTTGAACAAGTAGTACTAGCACCATTTCAGCCACTTCTCACATTAAAAACATCCTATGGACGGAGCCCCAAGGGTGTGGGAGCCAGATGACAACGCCAGCATCAGTAGTCCAGCCCTTAGGTGATTTCTCAGTATTGTGAAGAGTTTTAGTGCAGTAAATCAGCATTTTCTACGCTGACAGAAGTATGCAATAAAACACAAGAGATAACTTCAACCAGGAAAATCAGCTTTTTACCAAGGGATTATAGAGATGTTCTACATCAATTACCCAGACCCAGGGTATTATACTCAATCCCTCAAAATGATAGCTGTTCTTGGGAACCTAGTAGTAGAGCCTTTGGATCCTAACTTTCTGGCTCCATTTTCCTGTCCTTTCCCTTCCTTTCAGCATGGACAAGCTCAGCACGCAATTGAGGATCCAAACTGTGTCATTACTTACACATCTGCACAGGTACACAGACTCCATCCCAACTGTATCTCTACCACAGTTCTCCACTGAGGTACATGGGTGCAACCTAATCAAGCTCATTTCCTGCAGAACTTTATGGATCTCACCTTTTATTGGCAAGTCATATACAACAGCCACTGAATAACTTCACAGATAGAAAGTTACCGCATCAAGAAAATAAAACACCTTTCCTACTGCTCTGGTTAAGTACACTGCATCATAGATTACAACAGTGTGGCTGCTGCTCTGGGACTGTCAAATCATCCAAGCAGAGGAGACAAGAACCACTAAAATTGGTCAGGGAGAAAATCACGCCATGTGGATTTTCAAAGATGTTGAAAATGCATTTGGAAATGAAAAACACACAACAGCTCACACACTGGTAGACTACAATGCAGATATCCAATTTACAGATAACGCAACAGTGCCTCTTCCCTTAGTCATAAATTCCAGAATGATCAGATTCTGAATAGCACTCCCAGATACAAAAGAAAAAATAGGACAGATGATGAATATTTTATCACTGAATTCTTGCTATATATAATCATATTATTTTATTATCTCATGCTGCGGAGAAAAAAAACAACATGGGAAATGAGGCTAGATTTGTGAATGATAATAATAATTTTTCAAGCTGTTTGATACAGGGATGAAAATACAATAAACATGATTTTAGAATTTGATATAGAAAGACTGGCTACTGACATGAAATGGGAAAGTATGAAAGTGATTTAAGGGTATTAAAAAAAAACTAAGAGTCTGAAATAAAATAATTTATATAGCAACAACAACAAAATAAACTACCAATAACACCAGGAAAAGCTGTATCCATTAAAACAAAAGGTAACAATTCTGACAGTTCTGGGAAGGAAAATGAATAAACACCCTCATTATACATCTGCACTCAAGTTTCACCTTGACTCACAAAAAGTCATTATCTTATTACATTGCACTTTAATTATGCACAAGGGATGCCTACTGCTGAAAGCATCCAGACATACATATTTTAATCTCCTTCTCCAGTAATATTTGTTAGAATGCAGGTTTCCTTATAAATCATAAAATCACAGAATGGCCCAGGTTGGAAGGGACTTCCAGGGCCATCAAGCTCCAACTCCCCTGCCACAAGCAGGGCCACCAGCCTCCATATCTAATACTAGACCAGGCTGCCCAGGGCTCCATCTAACCTGGCCTTGAACACCTCCAGGGTCAAGGATTCCACAGCCTCTCTGGGCAGCCTGTTCCAGCACCTCAGCACTCTCATATTAAAGAACTTCCCCTGATATCCAGCCTAAATCTTCCCTCTCTCAACTTAAAACCATTTCCCCTTGTCCTGCTGTTATCTACCTTTTCAAAGAGTTGACTCCTCTCCTGAGTACCTAGGCTCCCTTCAGGTACTGGAAGGCTCCAATGAGGCCACCCCACAGCCTTCTCCAGGCTGAACAAGCCCACCTCCCTCAGCCTGTCTTCGTAGGGGAAGTACTCATAAATTAGCTCACAAAATGATACATTTCCATTTGTTCACTTCCAATGTTAATGGAATACTTTAAAAAAACCTTTTTTTCAAAAGAACTATTTTAAGAAACCAATCTTTAGAAATCACAGAGATGTATCTAAAGAAAGACTGAATATGGAGCTCAGCAGTGGTGCTCAGGATCAACAGTGGGAACACAGAGGTCAGAAGGGATCCCAGGGGGTCTTAAGTCTCAGCTCCTGCCCAAAGCATGTCCAGCTGGAGCTGATCGCTAAACGTCTTCCCAGCTGGGTTTAGACACCTCCAAGGCTGGAAGCTCCTTTCTGCAAATTAGCTGTTTATACAAGAAATAATGATTTGTGTTTTAGACACTAGTGATGAAATGGAAACATGGCCACAGATAAGGTAATCATTAGCTTTGGCCACAATGGCTGGCTTTCTCATTTGAAATCTAGTAGATCTGTTCCTATCTGCTTTGTGTGTTTTATTATTCAGAAACAACTTGAAAGATACACTGAAGCAAAGCGCCACAATGTCTGAACAGGAAAAAAACCCATATGGAACAGCATGCAGACTACTGATTGAGACTTTCAATGCTATCATTTTTTATTTTTACAAGAAATGGTTATCCTCATTCCTTGACCTATCTTTGAAAATGTCAGCTTCTGTAGGCAGGACTTTAAGCGTCCAGAGTTTACAAGGGATTACGGACAGCATCAATAATGCTCTAAACACAAACTTTTAACAATTAGGTTTTCAAATAAAAAGCAAAGGAATAGATGAAAACAGAAGTAAATATCAATATACGAGTCAAACTGAGTGACACTGGTGTCTACCAGGAACTAGTATCAATCACATGTCTGTGTCCAGGTGTCAGATTTTATTATATGTTAGGTTCCCTCAAACCAAGATTAGACACTCTGCTCTCAGCCTGAGAAATTCAATTGGATAAATCTCCTTGTTTATAACTCTGGCCTAGAAGAAGGTTAAAGCAGGCCTTTCTTCTGACCCAGTAACAAACAAAAAAAAAAACCTTGAAAATTTTGGGAGCCTGAAATGCCTGAATGACTTAAAAGCAGACAACCGCTGAAGACTCTTGAAAAAGAGATAGAGCTTCCTCAAGATTCCCACATACCTTTCCAAAAGGTGTAAAAGAAGAATTGAGATCTGTCATGTTTATCAGATATTTTCATCTGCTATGGAACATCAGGAGTTATGTGTCAATTATCTCTAGAAAGCTACTCAGAAATTAGAGTCTACCCAGGTCAAATTAAAGCAAGCTTTCTCCTTGACTTGCAAGTGGTATTGGAGTACCATAACATCCCACATTTTTGTGCCCTTCCCTTCTGATGCGCAATGAGTAATTTCGTTGCACTTAAAGGCCTTGTTGGTTTAAAAAAAAAACAACAACACAGAAGCAGAACTCAGAACAATAATACTTCCCTGTTGTTTGTTTTTGGTTTTTTTGCTTGTTTGTTTTTTTAAATAAGTTAAAGGATTAAATGGCTGTTCACTTACCAATTTTCATTTCTAAAATAATACATAGCTTTGTACTTGAAGAGAGCCAGCTTTATGGAGCTAGCCACTACATTTACCACTCCAGAACTGAAACACCATAGCAGCACTCATTGCACGTGACTAGGAGAGGTTCACATACATCAAGCATAATGCTCATTATTACACATATACTTGAAGAACAGGCATTTACATCATGGGAGATGCTGGACTTTGTGAATACAAACCCATAAACAAATGTAAGGCATGACTGCCTGTATTCATTATTTCTCTTTTTCATTTCCAGACACTCCTAATACTAAATGTTGATCTCAAATCTTCCCTTTGTGCAGACATATTGGATATTGCAGAAAGGAAGCCCCTTCTCTACATTTGTGTAAGGTGATCCTGGCTTGAGGGAGAGAGGCAGAAAGATCAAGTATCACCAGCAGTAGTATTTCAGTATGCTAAAGAACTAGGGAAGTTAATATATCATCTTGTATTTCCTTATCTATTTCTGTTTCACCTCCTTTTAGGAGTCCTCTATCTTCAGCAGGAGAGCTTCACAGCTTCTCCAGAACCTCAGTCCTAAAATAAGAGAGCTACAAATATTAGTCCTTCGTAATTCACCTTACTGTATGTGTTACTCACATAAAGCTTCTACTAAGAGTAAGTGAAATCTATGGCCCTTACTTTCCATTTTCCATTTGGGTCATTATAGTGTGACCAATCATGGCCTGTCTGCTCCAGGTGCAGGCGTTCAAGAACAAATCAGGGTTCTGTTGAGTACCTCACATAAAATTTAAAAAACACAAGGATTGACTTTTATGTCACTGGATAAACCCATACAGTTTTACCAGTTGTGACAACGTAGATCAAAGAAGGAAGTTGGATATTTCAGATAACATCTTTTAGATATGAAAATAAGAAGAAAACAGAGTTGGATGAGAAACGCCTATCTAACTGCATAAAGCAACACAGTTATCAGAGAGGAGTGCATGCTCCAACACTAAGACATTTGTCTAAAGCAAACAGAATAAACAAAAAGCCACAAGTTTTGTTAAACAAAGCCTTACCTTTCTGCTATAGACTTCTTTGGGAAGTAAAAGTCTTCTCCTGCAAGGTAGGCAGCAGCAGTTCCACCTCCAAAATAGGTTTTCCTCAAGAGGGGGGCAATCCGGTTGTTTACCAGTAATGCTCCTAAGCCAGTAGGGAATCCAAAGATTTTATAGAATGAGATGGGGATAAAGTCAGCTTGGTGAACTCCCAAGTCTAATGGAGAGCTGCTCACGTATGAGGCTGCATCTAATAGAACAAACCACTTCCCTGGTATTTTGACAGGGCAGAATTTTCCAGATTTTATGTCTTGTATCCATGAAAGGGGATATTTGGTACCAGAAAAATTGCTCTGAGCTGGATAAGAGAAAAGATGAGGTGTTGTGCAGTTTTGTTCTTCAGCTGATAACCAGTCTTTCTCCAATAACATCTTATCCTTTGGTTTTACTGGAACAGATAATACATTCATTGAGGCAGTTATGCCTCTCATACCCACCACAGATGTGTGGCTGTCAGTGAGGTAACAGAATCGACTACTCGGTTGCTCTGTGCCCTCAGGTACCCACGGGAATACTTCTGCTACCAGTTTAAGTGCAGCCGTGCATCCAGATGTGAAAATGACAGTATAATCTTCAGATGTAGTGTTAAAATGTTGTAATATTCTGCAAAACGAAAAAAAAAAAAAAAATCAAGTTCTGAATTTTCTGTTTTATTACCATATGATATATTCTGTTTTTCCTCAGCAGGAAAATTCTTCTATTCTTCTGACACATGATTTAAATGCAAGTACTCAGATTTCAGCAAACATCACAATAAACTTCAAGAATTTTGCCCACAGGTGAATCTTTCACGTGCTACAGTGAAAGTAGTTGAGTTCTTAAGGATAGAAGCCAATTTTGCCTAGCTGTGAACAGAGTGGTCCAATCCAGTCCAGTGCCTCAGTGAGATCAGAATCAAGCTTGCATATTATATTGTACACTGATCCTGAGGAAATAGGTCAGTTTTACCTGAAAACTATTAGTGGCATTAGCGCGTGTTTGTTTGGTTGGCTTTTTAATAGCTTTATTTGGTTAGCTAGTTTACAGATTATTTGGAGCTGTCAGAGTATTCTTCATTCAAAAAGCATACAGTTTTGTTTCCCGTTTATAATCTAATAACAGAAACAGAAGACAGTGAAAAGCAGATTTATGCACATAAGGCTATAATCTTTGTTGTCTGCAAAGACAGCCTAAGCCAGACGTAACCAATGTCACCCAATGAGCCAGAAGAAAACTTAACCAAGGTGTTTTTTTGAAGCCATACACCATACACTTGCTGATGCCTGGTGAGCACTGAGTTGGCTCTGAACTATCTTCTGTGAACCAGCATCTACTACAGTCTTTGGCATCCAAGCACACTTGTCCATCTATTACAGTCCCCTAGTGTGCAAGATAGACTGACACCAAGTCTGTGCAGAGGCTGAGGAGCAGCATTAGTTCAGTTGCTTTCCATGCATGATATTCTGATGAACTTTGTCCAAATGAACTTTCATAAAAATTCTATTAACAGGAAGCACTTAGGAGGCTTGGGCAGATGAAGCAGAATGAGCAAAACTGATCCAGAGCATAAATATTACTACTTAGAAGTGTTGCCTGGTTTTCAAGAAAAGCAAGATGTCAGAGGATTTCTCCGTGCACCTCTTCTGCTACAGAGCATTTCTGTGAACAAGCAGCTGCCACTCTAATCTATGTAATTCTGAGGTACAGCCCTGCACTTGGGTAATCTATACACTCTGGCCCTCAATGTGCATCATTAAAAGTTCGCATGTTTTATGTAACAGGAGATTCTCTCACAAGATTGAATGTTTAAATACTGCATTTAAATCTAAGTTGTTCAAAAGGTACATGACAAATTCAAGCTAAAATTTCTTCAACCACAGAACAGTAGAGGTAAATGCCTCAGAATTTTGTGTGTTCAGTCTGAAAGGCAAATATTACAGGCAAAGAATGTAGAGCTGGATGTGTGCTGCAATCAAAGCTCTGACACTGAAAAAAAATTACTGTAATGACTTTCATGATTAGGACCAGAAACCACTCTACAAAATGATACCGACATACATTTGTCTGCTGTAGGAAAGTCTTACTACACTAGGAAGTACAAGATGCAACAAATGGATTCATATGCCCAATGGAACTTGACTCAGAGCTCAAATTTTTGAAATGTGATACAAATGTCAGGTAGTCTGTGTTTCCTGGAAATAAAGAAGAAATTTCAGATTTTGTGAAGGAATCATCAGGTTGGGGATTTAAGCTTTAAATGTTTTGAGGAGTCAGTTTGAAAGAAGTCAGAGAGATCTTTCTGAAGCAGACCTGCCAGGTATAGCTCCAGCAAGAATTCACAATTCTGGACATTGCTTTTAAAGGGCTCTTCAGAGAAAGCAGACTTCCTCTTTAAATTCATACACCACATTAGGGATGAAGACAGGAACAATCACAGCAGTTGAGTGTAGGGCATTAAGCTGCCTACCTGCCTCATTCATCACTGTTGCTGAATCATATCCTCTCCCCTCACCTGCAGCAGCTGTGCAGCCTCTCCCACCACCTCCCACACTACAGTCTGAGGCACATGTGCATGCCATAGCAGATAGCTGAACACAGGATCATGAAGCCTTATCCCAGAGAGCTGCACTTTGGCTAGCTGTAGGTTTGCCACTTAGACTCATGCTCTGAATTTCAGCTGAGACATAATCTTGCCTTTATTCTTGTTTCCTTGCAGAGAAAAGATGGATAGCAAGGCAAGCGAGAGTCCTAACCTACTTTTCAAGCAGGGTGGCATTAGACTGTTTTTTAACAGGGGAAAGGACTGAAAGGCAGGTCAGTAAGATGTTCAGGTCTTTGTGGTTGTGGACGTGATTTGTCCCCATCTGCAGTACTATGTCTAGGCCTGGAGCCCCCAGCACAAGAAAGACATGGAGCTCTTGAAACAAGTCCAGAAGAGGGCCACTAAGATGATCAGAGGGCTGGAGCACATTTCCTATGAAGAAAGGTTGAGGGAACTGGGCTTGCTTAGCTTGGAAAAGAGAAGGCTCAGTGGAGACCTCATTGTGGCCTTCCAATATTTGAAGGGAGCATATAAACAGGAGGGGGAAGAGCTGTTTACAAGGGTGGATAGAGATAGGACAAAGGGGAATGGTTTTAAACTACGAGAGGGGAGGTTTAGGTTAGATATTAGGAGGAAGGTGTTGTGGTTTGTTTTTTTTTTTTTACCTTCTGAGTTAAAAAAAACAGGTGATGGGAGCAACCTCCTAATACACAGCATCCTTTCATAAGAGCAACCTGAGAAGAGCAGTAACACAAAGCACACTGAAGACGGTTATCAAGTCAGCTCCTCTTCTAGCTTCTCTGCTTTCTTTGCTCTCCTCCTCAGCCAGCCTCTTTGCATCACCCAGACTCAGGGGGAGGTGAAACAGAGCTAGGCAGAAAGCCAAACTTTACTTGGGAGTAATAATCTGCAGTCTCCACAGGAATTGTACTGACTTGCCGCAGCACTTAATCTGACCAAAAGACACTGTGAAATGACAAGAGCTGGGATGCAGGAATGGTGGACTGGGATTTAATAACGGGATGCTTTTGCCTAACAATGAATATCAGAACCAGTGTGTACTTTCCTTAAACATTTTCACAACTATACAGAACAATGAATATATATATATTTTTTTGGTTCACAAATAATGACAACTCTATATTTAAGTCATAAATGAGAGACAAAGCTCATGCACATCAGTAGTGTTTTAACTACATCCAGTTTGTAATCATTCACATTTAGAAAAGTTGAAAGGTACTGAAATATAACCCACAACATAATATTAATGTGTTTATTTATTCAGTTCAGTACCAGAAAGTAACTTTCACATAGGAACAATCAGTTACGTTTCTAAATGTCTTCAGTAGGAAATAGGCTCTTCTGTGAATCTCTTAAGGTATCTATTTGCATTTGGGGGTCTCTGAAAGTGTCATGTAATTGCTATGACTCCAGCACTGGCAAAAGAAATAGAATTTTCAAAATCAGATATTTGGCTAGAAGACTTTTAACATTAAAAAAGGAAAATAAATAAATAAAGGAAAAACAACCGAGTCAGAAGCATTCACTTTTCGAGAATGACTTCTGATGTGCAGAGCAGAAGAGCTACGAGCACCTCAGAATGAGTTTTATAAAACAAATGGCACAAACTCCTGAACCAGAGCAGCACTGCTATGATAAAATCAGGATACTTCAGGACAGAAAACTGCAATACCTCTGAATGACTTCTGCAGCACATGGTGCTACATCCTGTCTTTTGACGTTAATATTTGGAAGCACTAGCTATTACACATAGAACTCCTAATGTCTGTCTTCACATAAGACATACCCCATTACAGTGAAATGCAGTTCACCTTTATTACACTCCTGGAAGATATATAGTTATATATAAGGTAGATGTTGGAAGCAGGACTAAAGAGTTGCAGTGGAAAACTGATAGCTTGATCTACCATAGCTCACAGCTGCAAGCAGTAGTAGTATTTTATATTATTACAAATTTTCACTTCTCAAAGAACTCTGGAAGAAATGACTATGAGGATAATTGCTTCATTAAGCACATTGATAGAGCTGTGCCATCACACAGAAGATGGCATAGAGGCTGAGAAGCCTGACTCTGTACCTTGTTTCTAGGCTGGCAATGGAAAGATGAGACATCATGCTCAATCTTTACTGTGCACCAAAGACAAACCTTGCAAATTGCCTTACTGTAACCTGCCCCCTTTCTCCTTCTCCTCCTCATCCAAACTCCTTAGAAGGACACATATCAAACAAAAAACTGCCTCAGCCATACTGTAGTCTGTGAAGCCAGTGCAAGGAGAGCCCACTCAACACCCAGTACATGCTCATATTCTAAGAATTCTCTTTGCTGGTGTTTAATCGCTTCAAAAAACTGCTGTGACAATTCAGTGTATTCATTAACACCACTGAGTCAAAGTGCCAGACTCTTCTAATGTAAAAAATGGCAGAGAAAGTCAATTAATTTTCAACCAACCTTGCTGTCTAGTTTCATAAATTTAATGTGTACCTAATTAGTAACTGGCTTTATATTTAAAGACATATATAATCAAATCAGATATTCAGAGAGAACAAACATCTAACTTAACCTAGCTAATCCAACAGCATGGATTAATTAAAAGAAGCCTGATTAAAATTAGATACCCCAAGCCACTAGTGGCAGCTCTGCAGGGGGCACAGGCTACTGATTCATTCAGCCACCTCATGTACAAGGAATCACTCATGGTCAGCTGAAAGGAATGTCCGCCAAGGCTGCTTGCTGGCCATACTAACCTCAAACAGAACAAATCATGTTCTTTCTCACCACTAGCTCTTCTTCTGTGGCTCTCAACAGCAGAGCAGTAGCATTGCTACCAGAAAGGTATGACTGTTCATACTATACCATTACAGCCTCCCAAAACGCAGTTGATTTGTGTGCTGGTTTTGTTTGTTTGTCTGTTTTGTTTCTTTTTAGCCATGCTTCTATACTTTAAATACTTCTAAAATTTACCATCTTGCAAGCGTGTGAGAAACTGAGCAATTTACCTTCCTAGGTTTGAGTTCTTCCATGCTTTAATTCCAGTTGATGATAACATTTCAGCTGGTTGGC